ACCACCGGAAGTGCCATAACCAGAGTGCTGGTTCTAATGCGAATTTCCTCATTTCTAAGTTTCTCATGCAGAGTACCACGTCTCGATCCATAAGTTATCACGCACTAGTTGTACAATCTTGCTTTTAAGTTTTGAGGTATACCTGACGAGAATATATGTTTTGAACGCTGCTCAGCCGAGTTGAATCCGTCGACTAACCCCTCGGTCAAAATTGTACTTACCTGGTCGGACTATTTGTCCTAAGTAAACCTACTCATCAACAACTTCGAGTTTGGTGCTCCCAACAACTACCGGCATAGATGTGACATTGCCGTTACACATTTTTTGTTTTGTCCATGTTCATTTTAAGACGTACCGCTAGGAGGTCCTATTGAGGCCATTGAGCATAGTATTTAGGTGCTCCAGCGATTTTGCCATAAGGACTATATCGTTCACAAATCTAAGGTGAGTGATGTACTCGCCATAGATGTTAATACCGCACTTTTTCTAGTCCAGTAGATAGAAAATGTCTTCCAATGCAGCGGTGAACGGTTTCAGCGATATAACGTCATACTGTCTTACACCTCTCTGCAGTTGGATAGGTTTCGTACACTAGTTCTGTACTCGGATAGCCATCGCAGCCGTACTGTACAAACACTTCAACACTTCGATATTCCTATTTTTTTACATGAGGAAATACCTACGCGTACCCGCCTCTTGGGGGCAAGAACGGGTTATGTCGGACTCGCACCGACTAAATCCCCATTGCGTTCCACCTTCGTCGCATATTGGCAGGGCCACAGGAACACTTTCGCATACATCCGAGGCCCCTCCAGCGCTGGCCGCCCCATGGCGGCCCCTCCTTGGGAGAGGACTACTCCTCCCCCTTCTCTTTCTCAGAACCAGAACACATGGTGCGCCCTCCTCCGCAGTCTCTATTTTCACGTGCGAAATAGATGCCTCGGTGTCCGATGCGCGAAAGCCATGGGGCCAGGAGAAACGAGCACTCAGATGCGCTAGTCTTCCTGACCCCAGCAGTGGATCTGGTCTATGGCTCCACCGCCAAACCAAGATTCAGCTGCGGAGGGTAGGGAGAGCGGTGCCTCGCAATACCGACACTCCTCTGCCCCCGCAGCCCCACCATCACCGCATCAATTAACGGTGCGGTCCCATTTGAATCGCGAGGATAGGGCGAGCAACATATCGCCATACCAGCACTCCTCTTCCTCCACGCCTCCACCTCGACTGCAGCCGTAAGAGGAGAGGGCACCCTCTCGCCGCAGCCTCCCGACACACATCCGAAGTGGGCTCGCCAAGCCACTCGGAGTGGCCTCCTCGGACCGGCCTTACACCTCGGGCCAGTCATGTGGGTTCCTCTTGCTTCACCGCGCGTGACCAAGCCACGGCTACTAAGTCCCCCCGCTACGACAAGGCGGAAGCCGTTCGGGGGTGTGGGAGTCGGAAGATCTATGTTCAGCAGTGGGCTTGTGAATTCCTACAGTCAACTTGGTACCGCTGTAGACACTGTAGCACCGCAAAATTTTATAACTATTTCTACGAAATCAAAGAATTTCTTATAGTTCACATACGCAAGATAAAGTGGCAGATTGTCGATACTCTTCGGTCTTCTGTACAATTTTCCGAAGGATATGTAGACTACATGTCTATAGTGCTAAAGCCTTTTCGGAAACTGGCTTTTTCGTGAGCCTGGAAGTCGTCGAGTCTGCGTGCGAGACGATTCGTAATGACTCTTGAAACGAACGTAGACGTGGCTCAGAAGGGAAATCGGTCTGTAGTTCTTCAAGAGAGCGTTGTTGCCTTTAAAACAACACGAACTTTGCCCCAGGCCCGTGAGACTTTGTGTGTGTAATTTCATCCTCGCCCAGGAACTTGCCGTTTTTAAGAACCATTCTAATCTCGCTCAGACTGACGTCCACGGTATCGTCGGTATAGTATCGGATAAGACTCGCTTTTGGATCGTTACTAACTCAAAATCTCCGGTATTTCAATTTCATATTCGATATTCAGCTTTGAAAGTTGGCTCTTTCTGGCAGACAGATCTCTGACAAAGACTTAGGAGCCCTGATTCCGGTCGATCAATTCTTCAATACGAGCTGTGCATATTCAACGCATGCATTTAGAGATCTTTCTGTCTGGTCTCTGTCTGTCTGTTCAGTTGGCTGTATGCTTTCAAATCTGCTGAAGACTACAGCTCATGATTTCCTATCAAAAACCATGAGATTAAGAGTGTAATCGGAGAGTTTTTGTGTTCTTCTCCGATGGACCTTACAAAATTTATGCAAGGTCCGTCGTAGCTTTGTCGTCGTGGCTTCGACCGCATGGACAGTTTCCACGAGCTTGTCATTCATGTCGTTCACTGCATTGTTGTCTTCTAGGCACTATGAACGATTATGGTTACTTGAGCTAAGTTTTCGGGGCTTTGAATAAGTACACGAAGGGGACGGAGTGTTGACTTCATTCTGACCCCTCCAACTTAACGTTTAGGTTAAATGTGCCTCTCACCATTCGGTGATCGCTGCCAGTTTTCGCCTAGTTGCCGTCTAGTCAACATATTGAAGTCAATTTAATTTTTGTCGAACCGTCAGAGCACGACCAGGTCTATTTTCTGTGTAGCCGCTTCTGGAAGAAAGAGTTAATTATTAAGAGTCTCTCTTTTTCCATGAAGTCGGCCAAATAAGAATTGATGTTTTCATTTTAGTAGTTAAATGTTTGTTACAGTTTCATTTACTACAACTAGAAAACAAAATTAACCGCTCTGTTAAATAATGTCATTCCAGTTAGTAGTGACATGTTTGTAACTTCTACTGCCATGTACCAGTTTGAAGGACAATAGAGCCAGTATATTCACAATCAATCGTGATTGTGATTATGCTGACTCGTCGGCATTATGAGGTATTTCAGATTAACCCTCTAATTAAGTGAATGGTCTGGGCGGTCTCACATAAGCACTGTGGCGGCGCTGTCGTCTTGCCACAAGCGTAACTATCAAAGATCCGAAGTTTCTACTGTGGTATATATAGAATAGCTCTGTACTGACACACGGAGCATCAGTTTTGCCGTTTTAGCGCATTTGGTGCTAGATCTGGTGGAACTCTAGCGTCAATAGCGCTTTTTTTTAAATATCTAAGCCCTAAAAAATAGTCTAGTGGAATCTGGCGGAAAGCTTGATATTAGTTGGCAGCACAGTGTGATAAAAACACTAGCAAGTTTATCGTTCAGATATTCTTCGACCAAAACACTGCTGATGCGTTAATTGTTTAACCTCTTTTTGCATTATGGTATTATGTAGCTGTTTTGCTTTCCATTAGATTAATCCTCAAAGCTTTAATACCTGAGAAGAACTGATTTTTCCCACTTTCAAGTTTCGTGTTAGTCTTTTAGTTTTGTTTGTTTCGTGAAAATTTTTAGTGGATTTGCCACCGAGGAAAAAAGCTTATAGCTAAAAATATTGATCCTAGGGAGAGCGAATGTCATGGAATTCAATTGACCAAATAAGGAGGTGTGTGAATTGAAATTTCGGGCTCAAGTCTCCCGATACAAAAATGCGTCAAGGATGAATGAACGCTTATCGGGAATTAGTGGACCTAGCTATCAGCGTGCCGTCGCTTCCACATTCAAACGCCGTAGTTAAGCGGATTTTTGGCGTTATGAACATTGTCAAAAGTAAGCGACGTAAGCGTATGTCAGCTGAAACAGTGAACTCAAATATATTGATGAATAATAATATAAAAAATATGTGTAATGTACGATAGTAAAAAAAATTCTTAAGCAAATCTGCCACACATAAATACTTACCTGAAAATGTCCTCGACAAATTACTAAAACTGTGAAAAAGCTATAGAAGCAGGTGTAGGCTCATCATCGTCATCTAGAGGTGACGATGACCATAAAGACGTAGTGGAGTTGTCTAATTTAGTTGTTTTTAGTACCTAATATAAGTTAAATGAAAGATGTCTTTAAATAATCGATTTTTTTTCCTTAATACATTTATGGGATATGACTTAGCGGAATTTGGTGGATTTTAGAAAGCATTTTTTTATAAAATATAGCGCAATTTTAATAAGAATTTAGTGCATCTTTTTTTCTTCATACGGCAACACTGCGGAGCGTTAGTCGCACTAGCCATTTTGCCAGGGGAGATCTCCCCCTTTGCTTTCCAGCGTCTCACGGTCAAAAGCACCATTGGTTCCATGTTTTGAAGTAGCCACGGCTAGGTGTTAATTCGTTAATTAGTTCAACTACTTCGTTTCGTTTGTTATTATATATAACTAGTCCTTTGTCACTCTCATCATCATCATAAATGTCAATGACGAGTCTCATACATTGCCTCATAGGGAAAACGTTAGCCATGGATGCTAAGCCTGGCAGGCGCTTTGGCAACCGAAGTTTTTTATTATTTTGAGTCGTTATCAGGAAAATGTGCTGGCCAACTGCTGATTTATTTCCATCCGTCGTCTCTTGCGACACTCACGGGTAGATATGGGGTCGTGGATTCCCTTTTGCTGCCACTACATAGCTTCCATTCTTATATTAATAGAAAATATGGTCTATTAACTTTAACACGCGGCATCTTATTTGGATTCATTGAAAAAAAGCAAGCTGTTGTAAAATTATTCATTTATTTAATAAAAAACTAACTACTAAACTATTACTTATAAATACGTATAAAACTTAAATATAAACTTATTTGTTTTTATTTACAAAATATTAAAGTGTACAACATTTGCAAGAGAGATTATTTGATACAGAATAGTAGTAAGTACTGTTCAAAATGAACAGGTGCAATGAACATTTTCCGTTTTGCACGCGATAATCATCTACTTCAGTAAATATCAGAATTTACTTGACTAATTTACTTTTAAAGTTTGCATCGCACCCCTCTTTATAATATAACTTTTATAACTCTAAAATGTTATTTTACTACTCTCGAATTATTTCCAAATTAACATAATATATTTATTTATTCTAAAGTAAAATAATTAATTAAGCGGCCTACAGACTTCTTTCGCAGTAATACCGTCGGCCCTTAGCCTTGATAATATAGATTTGTACACAGTAGGCGAAAACGGCAACACCACGCCGCGATCTTGGATTTCACCTGCAATTAAACATAAAATAAATACGAATTGATATAGTATACAAAAGTAATCCACAAATGATGCGCTAAAAATAGCTTATATGACCTAAGAATCAATCTCAAGTATATTTCCAAAAGTATTTTATGCTATCTTATATTGAATACTCAACACTCTCTATATACTTAATGTAACAATTAAGAGACGTTTAGCACGTTTTCTTAATAGGGAGAACTCTTGATAATCACGTAACGAATTGTACATTTTCCATCGTGTCCACATTTTAGATTTTCGTCTAAGTGTATAAATTAAGCTTTTAGAGAACCACTTAGGGATTCTATTGGTTTTAACTTTGACAAGTGGTACATAAGATTCAATAATAATACATAATTTGGTTATAAAATTTGTCAATTACGGTATCACAAGAAGAACTGAGTTCAGAAACCCAATCAGTCTCTGATATAGCGACATTAATTTGGTCACAGTTTGCTCTGTAAAAGTTTCGTTTTTTCTTCTGGTTGGTGGGCATACACTTAAACTGAATTGCCTCATAAAAAATGTCCAGCGGTGGATGGTGAGGAACGGCTTTTAAGAGTGGATCATCGGAGGTCAACGAAGCAATCAGGTTAGTTGCATAAAACAAGATCAAGAATTCTACTGTTTTCATTTTTTATGTGTTTTTTTTTTTGTTTCAAGTTCATAAAGGCCATAATATAAGACAATAATTTAGGTTCGAATGCGTAGTATGTTGAGTAAACAAATGGTAAAATTAAAAATTTCATACAACCGACTTCGACATAAATATAATGAGAACATCATTAATGTAGTGAAAGTTAATTAAATAATGAGTATTTTATAGGATAACTCAAAAACTCCTGGTCAGATTTATGTGAGACCACGTGAGAACCACCAGCTTTCTAATAAAAAAATCATCAAGATCAGTTCACCTAGAAAATAGTTCTTAGGTAACACATATTAAAATACAGTCGAATTGAAAACGCCCTCCTTTTTTGAAGTCTGTTGAAAAGAGTGGATATTAACAGAGTATCTGGTGGTTCAATGAGGGAATGGATTGATTATGTGAATAAATGGAGGAATTAAGAATTAATTGATATGTTATTTACAAGTGGGTTAACCGTGTAGTGGATGTAAGAATGTCTCATATCGTCCCGTGGGTGTCGTAAGAGATGACAGATGGAAACTGAAACAGGTGATGGGGAGCAGCATCTTCCTGATAACAACTCAAAGTAATGAAAACTGCGGCTGCTAATCCGATTACCAGGCGTGACCTTCATGGCAAAATCCCTCTTTTAAGGAAAGCTATGAGAGAGCCTATATTCACAGTAGACTTTATGAATGATACGAGTGCTGGTGGAGCATCATCCTCACCGTCGAGCAGCATCTTGGCGGCGATGGCGGTGGGCAGGCCGACTGTGCGCGCCATGGCGGTGTGGCCCGCTGGCTCCCCGCGCACCGCCATGGTGACCTCGCGCTGCTCGCGCCGCCCGTCGCTCCACGTCACTCCCACCTCGTGTCGCAGCACCACCAAGTCCGTCTCGTCTTTCTCTGCGTGTTAAACATTTATTCGTTTTATTTTTAAAACCACTAAGTTACGTGAGGATATTATGGTCATTTTAAAGTTTTCAAAACTATAAAACTTAAACTAAGAAAAGGGTAAGAGACTCAAAGTCGTATAAAAGGTTAAAATTACAACCTACTAACTATATAGACAGTATGTTATGTTTATACATCTTCATAATCGCAATGAATCTAAATTTCAAAGTAAAACCTAATATTTATAGAGGATTCGGTAACTACACAGAATATTTTAAGTGGATAAATAGACTTTTGGTAAATTACCCTGTCAAGTTTGTTACGTGAAGTATTTCTAGCAACTGACAGATAAAACTTTTTTGTGTTTGATTGAGATTGTCATATCGATGGTAAAATTAACATAATATTGCTATAAAATTTATTGCTAAAATTTACAGTTACAGCCTACATACGTCCTACTGCTGGCCACAGGTCATTTGAGAGGGTTTTAGGGCAAGGAAATGACCGCGCGTGCCCGGTTGGTGAATTTCACATGTCTTCGAAATATTTTTTTTCTTATTTCTCAGACATGCAGGTTGCCTCACAATGTTTTCCTTCGCCGCCGAGCACGTGGTAAATCAGCACTTAAAATTGCAATTGACAATTTCATAGGTGCCGGCGGGGATCGAACCCGTGTTGCTCGCATACCGTGACATTTACAGCGAGCAATTAGCTCCTGAGCTACCACGACTCTCAAAGTTGTATACTAAAACTATAACTAATATATTAAGAAAAAATTGCACATGAACTTTGCCAATAATTAAAACAACCTAGAAAAATCAACTGAAATAAACAGTTAATGACCATATTTACTACACTGTCAACTGTCAAAATGGCGTCGATAAAGCATCGCCCTTTTGAACTTAGAGTAATCTCCGTGGGTACATATCATTAAATTATTTGACTGACTGATGAGAAGCTACCGCATCACAGAGCCATCTATGCAGACAAGGCTGTACTTTTTGACCTAAAAAGTGACTATATTACCCTCACGTACGCTAGCTAGTCAGACAAGCGCTGTTCTGCTCTTTCCAACCATCTTTTGTGCTATAAAAACCCTTAAATTTGCAATATGAAATGTTGAGGGTCACTTATCGAGATAAAAACTATTCCATCTCTCGAGTTGAAGCACACAATACACATTTACAAAATTCGAGATTAGCGTGAACGAACATCGTGACACATGATTTTTACGTATTTAAGATTGTGACAATACGCCAGTATATTCTAAGTCCATGACGCAGTCCATAGGCAGTTGTCAATTAAAAAATGAAGATAACAAACTAGCAAACGCGTTGTCTCCACTGAAAACTAAGATGGAATACCTCACAATCTGTAATTATACGGGCTCTGTATGCCCTAAAAAGCGGAAGATAGCAGCGCAAACACTACTATCACACCGGTGATGGCAGTTTCGCTATACGTAAAAGCACTTCTTCTGTCTATTGCAGAATTGGTGTTCCGCAAGAGAAGTGCGAAGAGGCAAATGTCATTCGAACGACGATCATCATTATTAGGTAGTATGCCAATTTTGAAAATTAAAATCACAAATAAGAGTATAATTTCGGTACAGTATAAGGAAATTAAGATTTCATTTACGCTAAAAATAATTAAGCCAAAGAAAGCCCTAAGCATATAAGATGGAGAATGATAGTATTGTTTTTTTACGATGTAATTGAGGTTGGACTTTATTTATATGATAACTCTATTCGCATTATTCGGTTAAAATTGTAAGGTCACATTCAAAATGTAATTGCTGTGATAATGCACAATACTACTCCAACTTTTAAGAGTTGAGTGTATTAATTTTATTTATGACTATTTTTATATTTGTTTAAATTTACTTTTTTATGTATCACGTCCTTATTTCGAATGGAACTATCTCTTTCTGTGTGTCTCACTATCGCTTATCTTGTTTTGAAGATGATCCATCGGTCTTCATGATATTTAAAAGTTTTTAGCACTTATTTAGCTTAACAACATCCTCTCAAGAAGATTGAAAGAGTCATTTTCTATTTTCAAATATTTTGTAAATATATATATATATATATATATATATATATATATATATATATATATATAATATTCCACAACTATCACACAACGCCATCTAGTTCCAAGCTAAGCAGAGCTTATGTTATGGGTACTAGACAACTGATAAACATACTTATATATTTCTAAATACATAAATATTATAGATAAATAACACCCAGACACAGAACAAATGATCGATGAAATAAATACTTACCGAGTTGTAAACGCTTGCCGAGATAGTGACTGATGGTGTCGAGTGGTGTGCCACATTTGACGACTGTGTCATCACTCAGTAGACCCAGTGATTCGAGTGCCTGAGCCCCCGATACGCCTATTCTTTCCGCAAGCCGCGTCCTGAGATTCTCGTAGAAGATCGACGTATCTAAAAGGCCAAGTAACTCGCAGGCAAATTGACGCTAAAAAATAACATTTTAATGTAAACAACCGGAAAACGTTTTGTAAGAAATTATAAGTGATTGAAAACCGCAGTGCGGGCGGTTTATAGTTATCGGCCTAAGCGAACTTTGAGAATGTAGTGTGTAAATAAATGTATACTCATTCGATAGCTTGATTCTTTAATTAACCTCTCAGATCCCGACAATACATGCGACAGTATCGGACCAACTCCGTCAGACCTGTGGTTAGGCCAAGGTCAATTTTACTTGACAGACGTGTCACGTGGGTGCTGTTAAGCTGAACGCACATTTGTCCGCACCGTAAGCGCGCATTTTCGGATAGCCTCGCACTTTTGCACGTACGTGCCGTACGCAATTCTTTTGTATTATCACCATCAACTTTTACAGTTTACAACCACTGGTGTAAAAAACACACGCACCGGTACAGTGACATTGATCGTTCGGATGGCTATGGAATTTTTTTTTTTTTTGTAATAGCCCGCTTATTGGCAGAGGAAAAAGAAAATAAAATTCGAAAAAAAGAAGATTCTGGATTCATAATATTAATTTAAAAAGGCAGTTGTATCGAGAATATTATACATTATGTAAAGACTTATTACATGATGATGAACGATTTTTCAGATCTTGTTATTTTACATACAAGAAATTTCAAGAATTGCTACATATATTAAAACCAGATTTTTCTATAGAAAACTCAAGATTTATAAGGCCAATTGAACCAGAGGAATGGCTTGTTGCATGTTTGAGGTAAGTATTTTCTATTGATAAAAAGTAATCACGTATAATTGGGGTTTTGAATTATAATTAATTATCAATTTTTATTGTACATATTTAAATTATTTTGTCACTAAGTATTAATATATCAATATTCATAATCAACGCAATTTTTTTTTTTTCAAATTATGTATAATTAATTACGTATTAATGAAAAATTATAAGAAGTCTTGTGAAAATGCTCCTGAAATTAAGTAAAAATATACTTCGAAACGAACATTGAAACCACTAGTTTTAGTGGAAAATCCACTAAGCTGGCAACATTCGACAGCATTGAGTATCAGCACGCGTCGATATACGGATATATATATATATATATATATATATATATATATATATATATATATATATATATATATATATATATATATTCCGATACCCTTCAATATTCGGATACCAACCGCATTTTAAAAAAATGCGGCAGGTATCCGCGACTGTAATGTACGAAGTTTCATATGATTTCATTAAACGAATTCTAAAATGGGGCGCCTACGGTGTTGACAAATTTACGTTCTGCTTTATAGAATTATTTCATTAGTAAAAAACAACATAGTATTTTAAAATCAATAGATAGATACAAAACCAACAGGTGAATATTTCCATTTTAGAGGTTTTCAAATAAATTAGCAACTTTAAGGTAGGAATCCTTAAAAACAAATTTTTCAAATTAAATCATTATGTAACAGTTTCACAGACAGAAATGGGGTTCCAGCACATATTTTATACATAAACTTCAAAAATTGTTAATTATATGTGTGTTATGATACCTGAATAACTAAAACCAAAGTGCTATAGGAAACGTTCACGTTCGAAAAAGATATTAAAAATTGACATCGTAATCTTGGTAAATAACAAGACTATACGATTTACATAATGATTTCTTATATTTACGCGAACATTACACATGATTAAAACTACTTTTACGGATTTTATCGCGTTTATTTTTGCTTTTAATTACTTTTATTTTTAATTCCCGACGTTTCGGGCGCTTTCCAGCACCCATGGTCACGGGGGACTGAGATGACTGACGTCCCGATGTCATTGTTAAACCCGGAGTACCTTCAGCTTTTTTAATTATTATTGTTTATGGTCCGATCTATGCAAAATGAACTGACTATGTCTTGAGGTCTTGCAGTGGTATGCTTGGGTTTAGTTTTAATTTTATTGATTATAGGATCCCAAGCAGGTGGTAGTACCCAGCCTCCCTCTCTATTGAAATTAGGATGTTTTTTAATTTCAATAGCCTCACGTATCATCCTTGGTAGGAATCGGTGTTCTTTCGCGAGGATTTGTGGTCTATCAAATCTGATGTAATGGTTGGGGCCGTCCAGGATATGATCACAAACTGCAGACTTCCCGCAACGTTGATGCTTCACATCAGCTATATGTTCTTTTACGCGGGTTCTAATTGATCTTTTTGTTTGTCTATATAAGAGAGACCACATTCACAATCAAGCTTGTACACTCCTGCATCTTGTAGAGGAATATGACACTTGACGGATGGTAGGAACTGACTAATCTTCTTCGGCGGTTTGTAGAATGTTCTAATAGAAGCTCGCTTCAAGATATAGCCAATCTTGTCTGTGACACCTCTGACATATGGTAGTACAGCAGGCACACGCTCGACTGTGGCCGGCTTCACTCGGTCACTGTGACGTAGGCGCGGGACCCGAAGCTTGTTGTCGTGCAGAACTTGCTTGACGTGCTGAAGCTCGGCGGCCAGGTGTTTGCTGTCACAGATCCCTCGTCACGTAATAAGTCTTTACATAATGTATAATATTCTCGATACAACTGCCTTTTTAAATTAATATTATGAATCCAGAATCTTCTTTCTTTTTCGAATTTTATTTTCTTTTTCCTCTGCCAATAAGCGGGCTATTACAAAAAAAAAAAAAAAAATTCCATAGCCATCCGAACGATCAATGTCACTGTACCGGTGCGTGTGTTTTTTACACCAGTGGTTGTAAACTGTAAAAGTTGATGGTGATAATACAAAAGAATTGCGTACGGTGCGTACGTGCAAAAGTGCGAGGCTATCCGATATATATATATATTGACTACCTTCCCAAAGGAACAACTATAACAGATCCATACTGTGCTTCTCGTAAAAGAAAATCCTATTTCATCAGGATGCATCGGCGCACAAGTCAGTTGTTGCAATGGATAAACTTCATGAACTCCATTTCTAAGTATTAAACCATCCCCCATATTCGCCTGATTTAGTACCATGGGGCTATTTCCTGTTCACTAAATTGTAAAAAAACCTTGCTGGAAGAAAATTTTCCACAAACGAAAAGGTGATAGCTAAGGCGGAGCGGTTTTTTGAAGAGTATGTGGAATGGGTCTATAAGAGAGCAATAAAAGCGCTGGATTATAGATTGTTTTGAAACGTCAATTTAACGATTAAAGTTGATTGTTTACGTATTATAAGCACAATTCCACCTAGTGGCAAGTGGTGATGAAGTACTAGACTAGATGGTAAATCACACTGCTCTCTTTTTTTCACTAAATGACAATAGAAAGAGACGGGTATAGAGAAAATACTTCTCAAATTGAATAAGTGATAATGAATCGTTTTGTCTAAGGCCGTATCATTACAAAATGTGGTTATAACCTTTTAGTCTTCTTTCATTTCTGGGAAGAAAGAAACACAAAATATTAGACTTGGTGCTCCAGATGCCGCTGTACATATATAGTCCTTAATCGTACAAAAAACTTAAATCAAAGTTCTATGAGACTTAAGAGCCGTGGTAGCTCAGATGGTTAACGCTCGCTGTAAATATAACAGAACGCGAGTAACCCGGGTTCGAGCCCCGCCGGCACCAATGAAATTGTTAATTGCAATTTTAAGTGCTGATTTACCACGTGCTCGGCGGTGAAGGAAAACATCGTGAGGAAACCTGCATGTCTGAGGAATAAGAAAAAAAAATATTTCGAAGAAATGTGAAGTTCGCCAACACGCATTGAGGCAGCGCGGCGGACACTTCCTTACCCTAAAACCCTTTCAGAAATGAGGTCTGTGGCCAGCAGTGGGACGTATATAGGCTGTAACTTTACTTTTTACTTTACTTTACAAAGTTCTATGTAATAAACTTATTTAACCTAAATTATTTATAAGTATGTAACTCTTAAAATTATTTACATTTGTTGTAACAAATAATTCAGCTTTTTATTTAACAAATCCAAAAATTTGTAAATACTTTAAAGCATAATAAATTATAACGTACCCAGGTAATAGCCGGACCCTCAGGATGCAAAGATGGATGCGGGTTGGGGTCCACTAATCCAAACAGTTGCATGGCTTTCATGGTCTCCGCAAAACCTAAGGATAATTGTTTTTAACCATGAACACAATTGGTCACTCCTTACTTAAAAAAATGTTACAATATCCGCGTTTGTTACAGAAATATAACATGCGTCCTAAATATATTATTATTTACGGTTAAGAATCAATAAGTGGTAGAGCCGCGCTGCAGGTATATTGCGCCCTCCTTTCTGCCAAGGAGGGTCGCGTCCGTATACGGCTTAGAGATCTCTCGTCAGATCGGTAAGCCAATCCATAAAGGTGGGGTTTAGTGGGTAAAAGTCTCCACATAACCACGCAGCCGGCTGCGTGGTATGCTATGAGCATTCCCCACCTCCCTCCCCCGCTTTCCGGAGGGTTGCCCATAATAGCTTCGGGCGCAAAAAAAATCAGATATATTATGGTTGTAGCATGAGTAGGTCGGCTCTTCGGACGTAGCACCACGCTCCCACAGAAAACCAGCGCAAAATAGCAAATTAATGCTGCTGTGTATTTCGTATTTTGATTGTCAAGAACTAGATACCCTTTTTACTAAAAACGAGGCATATACCGCTATTTACCTTAGTAGCGTAAAGTTCTTTACCTTTGTAGCGTAAAGTTCTTTACCTTTGTAGCGTATGTTCTTTACCTTTGTAGAGTAAAGTTCTTTACCTTTGTAGCGTAAAGTTCCTCTGAACATTGTGTGCACGTCGTCTATGCCGTACAGTTCAGCGTATTTTGTGCTGTCCCTGTTGGGGAAGCCCTCAAAGGCAAACCCGGGCAAGAAGTCCAAATCGCGAGCCACAGACATCAATTCTCCGCCGCTTAGAACTTCGACTATCTAAATTAACAAAATGATAGTTGTGCATTAATAAAAAGACCAGAAATTCATCAAAACAAAAATTAAAATTAACGCTGGCCCCCATTTAAGGGGGGAAAATGAAGCAAAGACAGCGGAAAGTAATTCCAAAATTTTGTGCCTCGAAATAGGATAGGCATGAATCATCATCATCATCATCATTACAGTCCATCACAAATCCACTGCTGAACATAGGCATCCCCCAAGGAATGCGACAAAGCACTGCTACTTTGCCTTGCGTATGCGGACTATGAGAAAGCCTTTAACTTCGTCGAAGTTAAGGCGATTCTATCATCCCTTCAGTGGTGCCAAATTGACTGTCGGTATATCAAAGTGCTGAAATGTTTGTACAGTAGGGCTACGATGGCTATCCGAGTACAGAACCGAAGTACGAAAACTATCCAAGTGCAAGACAGTGTGACGTTATATTCTCGAAACTCTTCAACGCTGCATTGAAAGACGTTTTCAAGATACTGGACTGGAAAGGATATGGGTGTTAACATCATGGCGAGTACATCACTCACCTGCGATTTGCCGATGAATTAGTCCTCATGGCCGAATCGCTGGAGAACCTAAACACTATGCGCAATGACCTTGATAGTACCTCCCAACGGATAGGTCTTAAAATGAACATGGACAAAACAAAGATCATGTGTAACGTTCATGTAACACCTATGCCGGTGGTTGTTGGGAGCACTAATACGTGGTAGAGCCATGCTGCAGTTATATTAGTAGTATAGTTGTAGCACGAATGGGTCGGCTCGACCGGGGAAGGACCACGCTCTCACAGAATACCAGCGTGAAATAGTAGCTTAATGCTGCTGTATTTCGTATGGTGAGTGTAGAGAACCGGAGACCCTTTTTACTGGAAACGAGGCATTCCATCTCAGTCCTCACGGGTGACAACGCATCTGCATTTTGATTTTTAATGGAGGATAGATGTAGATGTCTATGGGCCGCAGCAACCACTTACCGTCAGGTGGACTGTGTGCTCGTTTGTCACCCTATCCTATATAAAAAAAAAGCTCAATATTGTTGACGAGTATGTTTACCTGGGACAAATAGTCCGACAAGGTCAGTCCAACTTCGACTGAGAGATCATGCGATCGGATTCAACTCAGCTGGGCAGCGTTCGGGGAATTCGACACATCTATTCGTCAGATATACCTCAAAACTTCAAAACGAGATATATTATATAACAGTGCGTGTTGCCAGTGATGACTTACGGATCTGAGACGTGGTCCTTCACTGCTGGCCGTATGAGGTCGCTTAAGGTCGTTCAGCGATCTAAGGAGAGGGCTATGCACGGGTTTTCTCTGCGTGATAAGCTTAGAAATGAGGGTACACGCAGAAGAACCGGCCTGACCGACAAAGCCCAACGGATTAGTAAGCTGAAGTGGCAATGGACCGGCCATATAATTAGAAGAACCGACAACCGATGGGGAAAAAAGGTCCCCGAGTGGCAGCCTCGTACCTGTAGGTGAAGTGTAGGACGACCCCGTAAAACATGCATGAAGTCGATGGATGCAGGTGGCTCATCACCGTACTTTGAGGTATGAAAAGTCTTATGAAATAGTTTTTCCTTAAACGGTTTCTCTTCCTTATCATACCGCAAGAGGAAAGAAGCCTTATTAAAATACCTGCTACAATACAGTAATACTATATTATATTTTATAAATAAGCTATACTATTTTATATTTTTTTAATATATTATACTATATTAATAAAATATTATGAACGGTTATCGCATGTAATGCCCAAATCAAATAAAATCAAATTCATTTATTTGCATAATACAGGTATAAAATTTGTTACAAAAAATTGGAATATGTACACTGTATTACCTTATGAGGTGTGCAAATACACTACAATATAGACTACGCATTACTAATTCAATAATGGTGCTTTGAAATAAAATTAAGAATAAGAAGAAAAAAAATAAGAAAAATATTGTCAATAGTTGAGTTGAGTCTATAGTGCTAACTGTTGTCATACTAAATACCTTGATGTTATATAAACTCAAAATTAAATATTTTTGATAATACGTACAATCAAATTTAAAATGTTATCATACAAAATTAAAAGTTAAAATTATAATTTAATATACTAATCTTATCAAATTATTAAATTATTACAATGTGTCACATATATTAGGTAAATGTATGGATTACTATTATTCAATTATAATTAAATTCAAATTATTATTATTAAGTTACAATTAAATTAAAACTATTGCTATTAAATTATAATACTTTTATCCTCTAGGTACTCTTTGACATTATAATAACATTTATTAATCAGAAATTTGTGTAATATCGTCTTAAATCGTGAGATAGGAAACTTTCTGACATCATCTGGCAGTTTGTTGTGAATCAGTGATGCCATACAAAGAATACTTTTATTGAGTAGTGCTGTATCTCCGTGCGGTATATCTATGTCTAATCTTTTTTTGTTGTGTTATTGCCTATAGTAGCTTTTAAAAGCAGTCTTGTAAAAGTTTGGATTTGATTACACAAACAGATTTATTTCGTAGATATATATTGAAGGCAATGTCAGAATTTTTAAGTGTTTAAAGTATGGTTGACGGCTTGTAGTATTATCCAGATGGCACATTGCCCTGACAGATTACCCCCTAAGGTAGGAGTAGTTAGGGGGTAATCTGTGCCAGATGCATTTCTTTTGAGCTTTGAATGCAGATTCTTTATTTACCGAGTTGCCCCAAAATATTACACCATATCTTAGGATAGGTGCAACAAGTCCGTGATAGGCTAATAAAACGGCTTCTTTATTGATAATCTTGGAGTTTGTAAAGAGCAAATGAGGAGTTATTAACTTTTTTGCAGACATTATCTAGATGTATTTTCCATGATAGGTCATAGTCAGTATTAATTCCTAGAAATTTTGTATTTGTCACTGGATGTACTGTATTGCTTTGGTAACTAATATTTATAGTTTTGGGTTGTGTTCTTTGATAAAAATGCATTATTTTTGTTTTGTACATTTTTTAAGATTGTTTTTTTTTATGTGTGATAGTGATTACAATGATATCCTCTCATTTCGCTACGTAAAACGCAGTACGATTGTGTTCTGGATACTATTTTTATTTATTCTATGGTACTGGTAGGAATCGTTGCCAGTAAGAATCTTTATAACGTAAAAGAAGATTTAAAATATCATATCCTCATAGGTCACTCAGAAAGCAAAGAATACAATTAAATGTCCAAACCCAAATCATATCTTAATATTATAATTACTTTTATACACTTACCTGACCTCTACTCAGATATTTTGCGCTGGAAATAGTGTTGAGAAGTACGCCCCGAGGGTTCCACGAGAATTTGTATCGTAAAGCATTGTCACTGAATTCAGGAGCAGGGAGGCCTGCAAATAATTGGCATACATATATTAGTTGACGAAATACCTACGTGGTAGAGCCACGCTGCAGCTATATTATGGTTGTAGCACGAATGGGCCGGCTCGACCGAGGGGGGGGGGACGCTCACAGAATACCAGCGTAAAATAGCAGCTAAATACTACTGTTTTCCATATGGTGAGTGTAAGAAACAAGAGAATTCTATCTTAGTCCTCAGGGGTGACAACGCATCTGCGTTTTGATCTTTAATCGAGGATAAATGTAGATGTTTATGGGCCACAACATCCACTTACCATCAGGTGGACTGTGTGCTCGCTTGTCACCCTTATTCTATAAAAAAACATTGACTCTCGCATGTCTCATCGGGTCATCAATAATACTAATTAGGTGTCAGAACGTGATAAAATAGACAAAGTACACGTGTTGAATATTTTACCTCCACAATAGGAAACGAACGAATCTATCCGCCCACCGTGATTCTGTATGTTGTGTATGCATTCTAGCGCCAGAAGGTGATCGATGCCCGGATCCAGGCCGACTTCGTTCAATAACGTTACTCCCGCTTCTTTAGCGCTGTGAACCAATTCATGAAATTCAATGAGGGCTAATAAATCTTCCACTCACAAGATGTCTCTAGTTGACACTGTTGAGGTTAAGTTTTTTTACACAATGTCATTCAATTGAGCAATTAGTTTATTTTTTACTATATTGGACGACGCACACGGTCAGTTCAACTGATCATTCCAACTGATCAGTTCAAAATAGGACTGTTTATATATTTTTAAATATCGGCTTCTCGATATATCGATAAATAAACATATATATAAAAGTCCTATATTATTATATTTATAATTACCGATATATCAAAAATCCGATATTTTAGAAAATATCAACAGTTCTAGTTTGAACTTTGAACAGATCAGTTGGAAATATCAGTTCAACTAACCGTGTGCGTCGCACCCAATATGATCTTTAATTTTTGGCACATTTTTAACTTTTTTTAAATTTTCAACTTTTATGAAAAGATGTGGTTTGATTTATTTATTTGTAACCTAGTTAATATAAAACATAACTAATAAAACAGAAGGAAACATTGACCTTTAAAATTTCCGAATAAATTAAATAATAAAATCTGTCAAATATTACACCTCATTTTTAAGTGGCGCCGGCCTGGGGGTAGAAAGTCGTGGATGCCCTCGTTGAATAATCTCCACTCCTACCGTCCCATGTCTTAAGAGGCAACAACGGAAAAAGAAACGGGAGATGGGCAGTAGCGTCTTCCTAATAACAACAAAAAATAAAAACTGCTTTTTCCAGCCTGCACGCCAAAAGTGGCAAATACCATTTTTTTATATACGGCAATACAATTTACGGCTCTGGGTTCTAGCCCTTCTGAGCCTATCATTTCTTTCAGAATCTTCTTTTACGAATTAAAACCCACTTCAAACCATTATTCAAGCCACAACACAGTAGCGACAATCCGTCGACTGCCAAGTTCCCGCCAAAACTCTCTGGCAAACATCAGGGGGGTGTTCGGTATAGTTACCACTCTTGGCAATTTATGAGGGGTCTATTTAACAATAGACTTTTAGACAATCACGTCCTCACAAACAACGCAGCATTGTTTCGTAGAGAACATCAAGAACTATTTCATTAGTATCGAGGGTTCCATTTTAGTCCCTAGGTTATGAAGAATGAAATTTTAATAGTCAATGAATTCTTGACGTGTAATAACGTAATGATATTTTTATACTACAAATATAATAATAGAGTTATTATGTCTGTGTTTTATACAAAGACACATTTAAGTAGCAGCTTCTATAATAATAAAAACTGTATTTCGTGAGTGATGATATTGAATGTATAAATAAATAATTAAGCAGTTTTTTATGATTAAATTTATCTACTTAATAATTATTGAATATTTGTTTGTTATCCCAATGAAAAAAAATAGATATTATGATACACGCTTAAAATTTGTTTTTAGTTCTTCTATTTTATACTACAATTCGTATAGCTATGTATATTTCTATGGCAATAGTTTAAGTAATCGCTATACACACTGGCACCCATTCTCAGCTCATTTTATTGGCAGTGACAACCACGATCATCTTTTGTATCCAACTTGGCCAAATTTTCGTGGGTTTTATTATTATTGCATTGCTTCAGAAAGAACCAGCTGGTAGTCGCAAAGGAATATAATTGTGATAATATCGTTTTAAATTTGAAAGATATATTGTATAAATATAAAATAGGTATTACAATACGTTCATTGAATTTGAATGAATATTATAACTTTCAAATAAATTTATCGGTACCATACGCGTATACAGTGCTTATAATACTAACAAGCCAACGTTAATTTTTATATATTAGATGTCATTAAGATTGAGAAAATTGACCGGATTGAAATTTTTTCTCATCGCAAGCCATTTTCATGAAGTCTATTCATTTAGGCGTGTTCACTTGCTCTTGGCTGCTTTATATCTTTACTTCACCAAATTCCCTCTTAGCCACATAAGGCTTACTTTTATTTTAAATTATCCCAAATTAAATGTGACTTATGAGCAACAACGTTTTTGCCTACAAATCGATCTTTACGAATGTGTGCGTGCGCTGTGCAGTTAATTTTGAATTTAAATTTGCATTTTGAATTTAAAAGATAAATAGTACAGAATTTTTGATTTTTTTTAAATTTTTCTTCACCATTTGCCTACATTAATTGTTATGAACCTTATCTGCAAATTTGTAAATAACTCTGTATATAAAATGTATAAAAGACTCTGTATATATAGGTAGTATAGGTAAGTCTGCTTCGTTGGTCTAGAGATTGTTAACGCGGCTCTAGTCATGAGGTTTCGGGTTCGAATCCCGGGTCGGACCAAAAAAAATCAGTTATTGAGTGTTTCCATCAAAAAATTTTAAGTAGCTGCCCGGAGTAAGGAAGTTAATGAAAAAGCTTGATCTCGTGTCGGTTTACCGTCTTATCGGTTATGAGAGTGAGGGATAGAGAGTACACCTGTGCTTGCGCACATAATCCTGTTCTGCGCCATTAGCTAGTCTCCGTTGAGGCTGGCCGCTGTGACCTAAATTCGGTCTGGAGGACATTACTATAAGTATGGCATGCCCTCTTTTGAAAAATCAGGTGTAAAACTTCCAGAATAATTATAATAATAATAATAAAGCCTCTTTATTCCTTAATAGAAAATATTTATAATACAACAATTATATGTACGCTTAGAAAATATAAAATAAAATATATATTTCAATTAAGGACCCCTCTTTGGGTAAAGGCCTCCTCCATCTTTTCCCACTCTTTCCGGTTCTGTGCTATTTTTAACCAATTTTTTCCTGCTGTCTTTTCAACCTCATCGACCCATCTTTCTTTCGGTCTTCCTTGCTTGCGTTTGCCTGTTGGTCCTGTCCTCATGGTTACTCGTTTAGTCCATTTGGTATCTGTGGATCGTGCTACATGACCTGTCCACTTCCATTTCAATTTTTGAGAGTAATGTAATGCGTCTATCACTCTTGTTTTCTTGCGAATGTCATTGTTTTTGCATTTATCTTTTAGTTTTAGGTTTAGGATACTTCTTTCCATTGCACGTTGACATGTTAGTATTTTATTCCTTGTTTGTCTATTGAAGATCCATGTTTGGCAGCCATATGTGAGACAGGGAAGTATGCAGGAATCCATGACTTTCTTTTTTTAAATTTAGCGGTAGATCTGCTTTGAGTACCTCTTTATGTTTCCAAAACTTATTCCAGGTTATAGCAATTCTCCTATCGATCTCGTCTTGATTTCTAGAAATTTTGAAAGATGTTTGTTTGCCTAGGTAGTTATAGTGATCTACATATTCAAGCTCTATGTCATCTACTTTTATTGGGTGTTTTGTGCTATTTGTGCATACCTTCGTTTTTTCAGTGTTTAGTTTTAGGCCTATTTTTGTGCTTACATTGTTATTTTATTTCCAGAATAATTAGTTCACCACAAAAAGGTTTTGTTGTTCCTTTAACAATTTACTTTTTTAAGATATATAGTTATTTTTTTCTATCTGAAAACATTATTTCCACTTCATAAAACTTACGAATCATGTAGTTCCTGGACTTCAGGCCTCACGTAGGACGCGGTGACCATATGTACGCCAGCACTGACGCATGCCCTTGCCACCGGTCCGTGGAGTTCATAGGGCAACAGAGACACCACGAGTCTGGAGTTCGAAGCCAGCGACCGCAGCGCCGCCTCGTCGTTAGCTTGGATGAACTCCGCACGAACGCCATAGCGTTCGGCGAGGGCATCCGCTTCTTCTCTTACTTGCGACGCTAATTGCAACGGAATATTATAAATTGAATAAATTATATTAATTATGTTTAATATATTTTAATTATTCTCAATTTTTAAAAGAATATTTGTAACCTATTTTGCCTAAAGTAATCCGCAAAATTAACATATTAATGTATGTATATAATATTTTATACGCTCTGGATAGTTAACTTTTGATCATATTAAATATTTATCTTATTGAGCATTCTTAAAGGTAATCGTACGCGCCGTTGCGCAGGACCTCCCGATTTTTAGGGGTCTGGTGACAGGTCCCGATTCACTCTTGATCGGGAGGCCAAATGTCCTGATTTTTCACCAAACTCCTTGATCTGTACTTTGATGGATAATTTCGACAGGAAAATGAATACATCTGTAAGCTGTCACTACATTGATATATTTTTGTTTTAACATTTTCTCACCAAACTCTATGAATAGTCATTATTATCATTTTACGGGGCATTTTTCATTTGTAGCACAAATGGGTTGTCTTGACCGAGGAAGGACCACGCTTTCACAGAATACGAGCGTAAAAAAGCGGCTTCATGCTGCTGTGTTTAGTATGGTGAGTGTTGAGTACCGGAGATCCTTTTTACTGGGAACGAGGCAATCTATCTTAGTCCTCAGCGATGACTACGCATCTGCATTTTGATTCTTGGAGGATAGATATAAATACTGATGGGCTACAGCAAGCACTTTCTGTCAAGTGGACTGTGAGCTGTTTGCAAAAGTCTTGTTGGTCTACAAACTATAACACCTTATTTCATCCTTTGAGGGTTTGAATTTTTCAAAATCCTATCTTAATGCCTACGTAATAATAAGAAGTTATGTTGTCGTAAGTTCATGCTTCTACGTTCTGTAGTTTGAGCTTTTCCCTGGTATTCTGTAAAAGCGTGGTCCTACCCCGGTCGCGCCGACCCATTCGTGCTACAACCATAATATAGCTGCAGCGTGGCCCCACCACATAATACACGTTAATCGCCCCGTAAAATAAAATGGTTCATACAAACCATAACACCCTATTTCATCCCCTTAGAGATTGAATTTTCCTAAATTATTTCTTAGTGGATGCCTTTTTTTATATTTTTCCATCAGTCCACCTGATGGTTAGTCAGTAGTTGCCTTTTATAACGTAGGCGTATACGTGGTAGAGCCACGCTGCAGCTATATTATGCTTGTAGCACGAATGGGTCGGCTCGACCGGGGTAGGCCCGCGCTTTCACAGAACACCAGAGTAAAATATTAGCTTAATGCTACTGTGTTTCGTAAAGTGAGTGTAGAGAACCGGAGACCAGTTTTACTGGAATCGAGGCATTCCATCTTAGACGTCAGGGGTGACAACGCCTCTGCATTTTGATTCTTAATCGATGTTATATGTAGATGTCTATGAGACACAGCATCTACTTACCATCAGGCGGACTGTGTGCTCGTTTGTCACCCATATTCTATTTAAAAAAAAAGATGGAAGTAGGCAGTAAAGATTAAAAATGTAATAATACTAAGTAATAAAATAGGTATAATACAAAAGATAACCTAAATCGATTTGACTTTTATTTACATAAAAACCGACAATAGTTTCCGGTTATCCCATATTCAACACTAATCTTACTAAATTTATAAATCATAATGCGACGAAATATCAGCTAAAAATAAGAATAAAAAAAATAATTTCAAAAATAAATGCCTATAACTTTGCCCGTTCAAAATAGGAAGATTAGAAAGATTAATGAAAAATATTAGTTTCTTAATAACATGAAAAGTCACACTCTATCCTCATAGAATTTAGTTTTTAGAAATAATAATTTACGCACCGACAGTGACCGCGACATTCTTGTCTCTCGCCAAGTACTCTACGACGGGCGCTGAGACCAGACCACTGCCGAGAATCAGCACATGAGTCTGTTCCTCATGACCTCCCACCTTGTGTCGAGACCGACTGTGAAAAAGATAAGTTAATTGCTAACATCATAAGGTTTTAATTTAAAATAACTCAAAATTATAATCATAACCCTTTAAACAATTTACTATTGTACTGAATATCTATGAAATAAATTGCATCAAATGGCATTCATGTCCACGAACGATCTGCACACCTCTCATTCTTTATGCTCTGTGGATATACACGTATGTAAGAAGGTGAAATTGCAATCTATTTGATTACATAGTATAAATACATTATCAAAGGAAACGATCGTTATAAAAGGTCTGAGTGTTCGTCCAAGTGAAATGGATGGTATGTATGTAAAATGCTTCCATGATACACCGTACGTTCTTACCGCAACTTTTTTTTTAACACGCATGACTATACTAAAAATTTCATCTGCACTTTCGTGGCTGAGGTGTCCGAGTGGTTAAGGAGTTGGACTTGAAATCCAATGGGTTATACCCGCGCAGGTTCGAATCCTGTCCTCAGCGTTCGTCTTTTTATTGTTTTTTTTAATATTTATTTTTAGTTATGCTTTTTGGAAAATGTTAACTTGAATATAGCTAAAATATTAACTTGGGTTTGCATGCTATCAAAGATATTATACAGTTTCCAAATTAAGTGTAATATTGTTTATTATAGTTATCTGTGTAGTAGACTTAAAATAATATAATATTCGGCCCAACGCCGACTAGCGAATATTTTGCGGGTTTCCTGACCGAATAGCTTAATATATCTAAAAGTATTCGGCTGGAAAGGAAGTAGTATTAATTTATTCAGTGTCTTTTCTCTGAAGCTGGGATTGTTTACGAGAAGAATAGGAGTACATTATTGCCTGAAAATGCAGAAAAATTAGTCTTTCTGCACCATAATCTTCATTGCATAGACATTTATTTGAAATATTTTGTTAAATTTTATAAAACATAGTAAATTGATTATCTACCTATGACCACTTTAATAATTACAAGAAAAATACATTATTACAAAATAAATCAAAATTTTCATTTTACCACTTATCTGGCAAAAACAAAACATTTTTCTCAAGTATCCGGTATTCGGGCGAATAGTACCGGATATTCAGCATTCGAACGAATAGAAGAAAAACAGCTTAGTAGGCGGAATATCGAATAATAGATGAATATTCGTTGCAAGTCTAATAATAAGCATTAGCGTACGTGTACGTGTGTGTACCTGTACGTGTACGTATGTGTAATATTAATATTATGTATACTTACGTATTTGCCATCCTTAGTTCATTGATGTATTCAAAGGAAGGTGTCAGTTTACCGTTGCTTGTTATTATGGCCTGTAATACAAAAAAATATTTAGCGTTTTGTACACGAAAAAGGATCTCTTAATTATGAATTCATCTCTCTCTCTCTCTCTGTCTGGTTATAAAAAGACACGTAGAGGATTTGACATAGAATAGTTTCAATCGATACGAAAACATTTCAACAACCATTTTTGAATTTATACACTTCGACCAAATTGACGTAGTTGAACTGTATTTGAAAGAAATTACTTACACCTTTAACGACCGGTGAAAAATCGTGCTCTTCTAAAGGCTTTGTGGCATCCGACTTCATGATGTCGTCTGCATAGGGGAACAGCAAATCTCCAAAGAAGTCCGTAGACTCCCTCGGTAGCTGCGTCGGCATGTTATCTATGGAGCACACCAGCACGCCAGGACCTTTGAAGCTGTGATTATAAAAAAAATTGCGAAGCCGAATTCAGTAAACAAGCATAAATATAATACTCTCTTTCTCTTGTCTGTCTGTCTTACGTATTTTGCTATATGCATCAGTGAGGTTTTTAAATGAATGATATTCCTCGTCTCTTAAGAGAGGTAGATCCATTCTTAGGCATAGGTTAAGTGGGAGATTTAACTTAGAAAACGTAGCTGTGGCTTAAGGCACTATATGGCGGAGGACTCTACATAGCGCTATTTTTTATTTTTTTTAATCGTCACATCATCCTTTTGAGTCTTTTGTGTATAATAAATTTGGAGTAATAATAATAATAATAATGCCCTCCAGACCGAAATTCGGTCACGGCGGCCTGCCTCACAGAGACTAGCCATCGGCCCAGGACAGGATTATAGCCCGTGTATGTGTAAACATAGGTGCAATCTCTATTCCCTCATTCTTCCAATGAGACGGTAGACCGACACAACCGGTGAGAGATCAGGCGCAGGACCAACGGCTTTACGTGTTTTCCGATGCACGGGTGTAAGACACCGCCAACTTTCCTGACTCCAGGCAATTACTGAGAATTTCTTGACGAAAAAACTCAAAAACTGATTTTTTTGCCCGACCCGGGATTCGAACCCGTGACCTCATGATCAGCAGTCGCACCACTACAACCACTAGACCAACGAGGCAGTTAGTAGAGTATTTATGCTGGTAACCAAAATATGTGAAGTATAAAGGTCCACAAGGTCTTATTGTGGAGATAGAGAAGATTTTATTTTAAACTTTAAGCAAAGGATCACTCACGCTAGACCGTGTCGGGTCCGTACCGAGTGTCGGCCGTAGTACGGTCAACTAACTACATATATTTTGTACGGACACAGTCACGCTATATTGACCGGAAACCGAGTGACGACCGAGCAACGGACAACGCTCGGCGACAACTCGGTCCCGGCTTGTAGCTGAAGATTTACCAGATTCTTTATCGTGCAGAGCGCTCACAATAGCCGCTAATTCCAGATCGTCAACTTTAACACGATTGTTGTCTAGTTAAAACATTATTTTTCCTCGGACGAGTATACTGCACGGCGCAACGGTAATTGCTCGGTCAAGGCCCGTCTTTGTAATTTCAGGCGCGGGACTGGTTCGGTGACCGTACTACGGCCGACACTCGACTCGGTTTAGCGTGAGTCAACCTTAATGGAGATAAATTTAAAAAAGGCGATTATGATAACTATTGAATACTAGCGATCCACTCCGGCTTCGCACGGGGGATTTCTGGATCTTGACAACAGCGCCACCTACCGGGCCCAACACAAGAAATCATCAGAATCAGTCAAGCCAGTTTCAAGTTTTAGCGAAACGTACGGACATCAATTGATTTTATATATAGAGATATTATCGTCTACAATTGTTATTTAATAATCTTGCTATATTTATTTATGATTTGTCAAAAAAATCTTTGTGACAAACCACCGAGAAATATGACTAAGGTAAATTGGATAATCGGTATAAGTAATCTCGCACAAAAAAGTTAAACGTAAAGCTAGCACAAAAAAGCTCACGGAAAAGATACGTAGACAAAACCACGATGTAAATTTTTTGTGACAAACAATCAAGAAATAACAATATTACCTGTAAAATTAATACCATTCCTTAAGTGAAAAAAATTGGGGTTGTGTTGTATATGTTTTCAGAATGCACTCGTTAAGAACTTTAATTTGATACGAAACCTGATATTTTAATCTACATTTAATTTTTAACTTCCCGCTAAGAAAATTGAAAATTTTGAAAAATCGGGAAGCTGTTGTTTTTACCCCGTTTTTCGAAAATTGAGTTTTCATCAAATCATGACGTTTTGAGGTCATAAAGCCACCCTAACTATTTTTCGGTGGTGTCTGAATGTATGTGTAAACCTCTTATTTCCAAAGTGTTTCATCAAACTTAGTTTTCCTATGAATTTTAACTAATTTGGCCCGATAGATTTTGAGAAAACTCAAAAATAAAAAAATAAAAAACTGTTTTTTTTTTTTAATAACTTTTAAACGGCTTTAACGATCAATTCCAAAAACTAATCAGCTTACAATTATGAAAACCCACGTCGATCGCCGCCAGTCCAGTCAAAATCGGTTGATTCGTTCGTGAGATATCGTTAGCGAAAAATTTTGAAAAATTGTTTTTTTTTTTTTTACTACTCCGTTAATTCATATTCAACGTTATAATTTGGTGAAATTTGGAGCACTTTGCATTTAAAATTAGCAGGAAGTTCCAGGGATGGCCTGCAGGGTCAACCAATTTTTGTTTTGTAACACTGACTACAATAACCCAAAAGAGTTTTGGGTATTATCAGACATTGCATATAACCCGCGAAAGAGCACGACGCTTCCAGCGATACCTTATTTGACAAAATACGATAAGTAGTTTAGGCTATCTGAGGGAACAGATGATATGCCATACACACACATATATACATAGCGTGCTAAAATCATAACCCTCCTTTTAGTTTAACCGTAGTCGCATAAAAAGGGAACACATAACTTACATATCTTTATATACCTATATAATTCTTCTGTTCGTGTGTATGTGACTTGGCCCGATTTTGATGAAATTTTGTGGATGTGATTCAAAACTATTCGAGAACGGTTTAGATTCATAATTGTACCCGGCAGGTGACACTGTTGTCGAGATCCAGAAATCACCCATGCGAGCTTGGCGAATAGCTAGTTTATTTATAAGATAAAATAACAAAATATTAGCAACCTCTTCGTATCCTTGTTTCTGTCGGCGTCGTAAAGACAGAACGGCGTATCGATTGTTGTGCATTCGTTCATGAACTCGATCGAACCCCCAGGGTCTGCAGATATGTCGCAAATGGCCAGCATTCTGTAATTAATGTAAATACATTATTATCATCGATATAACTTCCTTGACAACTTATCAGCTGTATTTGATTGTGAATGAATCTCTTATAACTATTCATTTGATACATATTAATTTATAAAATGTACAGAACGACATCAAAAATAGTAAAAATGGAATTTTTATTAGTAATACATATACTTTTATTAGTAATACCGTAGTAAAAGTAAAAGTAAAGTTACAGTCTATATATGTCCACAGGCACAGGCCTCCCCTCATTTCTGAGAGGGTTTCAGAGCAAGTAAGTGTCCGCCGCGCTACCCCAATGCATGTTGGCGAACTTCACATGTCTTCGAAATATTTTATTTTTCTTATTCCTCAGACATGCAGGTTTTCTCACGATGTTTTCCTTCACTGCACGTGGTAAATCAGCACTTAAAACTGCAATTAACAATTTCATTGGTGCCGGCGGGTATCAAACCCGGGTTACTCGCGTTCTGTTATATTTAACCATCTGCGCCACTACGGCTCTCTCTACCGTAATACTATTATTTATTCTGTGGTAATACATAGTATACTTCTGAACAAGGATCTCCTAGGTGTGCGTTACTTGCAGTATACAGTGGCTGCAATTAACCGCCGGTACGACATACTCCGCCGATCGTTGAGTCCCGTGATTCCGTGAGGCGTCGAGGTCACCGGCCCCTAGGTGATTCTTGGCACTTTATGCGCTTCGTGCATCCTGTGCCTAGTCGCGTACTAAAGTGCCACCGTTGCACTTCCCCCAACCCTTTCGTTGTGAAAGGGGTAGGCAGTGCCCCATGTGTATAAAGCCATAGACTTTTAGTACCATAGTTAGACAGGGCCGTTTTAGTGTACGACTGACGTATTAGATTAGTAATATGTCAGATAGGGACAAGGGGGGAACCACCCCCCAAGTCTAAAATACCACCGGATAAGAAGGGAGTGTTAGACAGACCTCTTGTTATTAGGGATATAATGAACCCAGAGCGTACCAGAACGGTGCCAGCGTTCTCCCATATCCCTATGCGGAAACCAGTCTCGCCGCGAAAAGAGCCCGTAACGAGCGTCGCGCTCACGCCAGCCGTGTCTGAGCACACGGCTAGGCGGGAACCGTCGCCCCAGCAACAGCGGGCCAAGAAAACGGCCAGACGCCACACACCACCCGAGACCGAAGCCTCTCTTTTCGAGAAGAGACAACGGATTGGCTCCCAGCAGTCGTCCGATGAAACCCCATCCTCATCCGATGATGAATACCACCAGGTGGTGACAACAAAGAAGGTGCTCAGATCACCGCCGAAGTCGCCTTCTCCACCACAACCCCCTCCTCGCTCTATATCACCAGATCGTCGTAGCCGAGATTCGGCTCAGTATGAGCAGGGGGGCGAAGAATCCTTCAGCTGGGGGTCAACCACCTATGCAACCTTGGCTGCATCCGCTGGCCGATCATCGCCAGTGGCAACTACAAACCCGTCCGGGCTCCCGCAGGACGATGGCCAACGGCCATCTACCAGCTATGCCCATATGGCAGCTGCACCAGCAGTGCCACGCCCACAACCGGCGGCAGCGCCTACTGATAAGCCTGCCGACCAGGAGAAAGCGAGATATCCACCTATAGTAGCTGAATGCCTACCGGAATGGACGAGGCATTTTAAGGAGCTCAACAGAATGTTGGGCCACCCTTTGAATGCCCGTCCGTTCGGGAAAGGCGTACGGTTCACGCCACAGAGTGCCAACGAGTTCCGTACAGTTCAGCGCTATATGGTGGAGCTGAGCAAAGAGACACCAACCCTCTCCTGGTATTGTTATACCCCGGAGGAGGATAAGCCCACTAAGGTGGGCATCCGTGGGCTACCTATGGGCACGGATCCCAAGGTAATAGAGGAGGCTATAAGGGCAAAAGGCTTCCCTATCAAGTATGTCAAGGCAATTCCACCACGTAGAGGCAGACCTGGCTGCATCTACTTTGCCCAACTAGATCACCTGAGCCTGGAGCAGCTCCAGAACCTATACAGCATCGACGAACTCCTCTTCATGAGAGGAGTCGTCATCGAGGCCTGGCAAAGGAAGGCAGGACCAGCCCAATGCCACAGATGCCAGGCCTTCGGGCATGCCTCGGCCAATTGCTTCAGGCCAGTGAGATGTGTGCGCTGTGCCGGGGAGCACATAGCAAGCCAATGCCCTAGGGGTAGGGAGGAGGAACCCAAATGCGCCAACTGTGGCAAGAGCCACACGGCAAATGACCGCCGCTGCCCAGTCCTGAGGAGGACTGCCAGGAGACAGGGGATTACCTTACCGGGATTACTCCCGGAGGACCCCAAAAGGATCCCCCAGAGTCGCCCGAAAGCTGTAACCATCCAGCAAGACGGGTGGGCAACCATTACAGGGAAGGGCAGGCAACAAGCCCCCCCCCCCACCCGTAACACCAAAGGAAACAGTGGAACCCACAGAGCAAAGGGCAACCACTGGGGCGACTCTGCAGCCTCCCGCCAACCCTGCCACAGAAAGGCAGCCCTCAAAAAAGAGGAGGCGGGAGAGAAGCACGAAGAAGTCGCAGCCTCCTCGGGCTGTAACCTCTACCCCTACACCTGGACCAATAGCCCCTCAGGCGCAGGTTATTAGGGTGACTACCAACAAGGGCGTCGGTAGAGTGCAGGAGAGGGCTCCACCAGAAGAGAGAGCCCGACCCACACACAGAGCGCGCTCTACCCAGAAAAATGAAGTCCAACGCCCGAGACCAGCACCAACGCCTTCAGAAAGGAAAACACCATCGACCGACCTCGAAACAGCTGATGCAATCCAGCGTTTAGTTGGAATTGCCATCGAGGTCGGTACACAAGTCCTGGCCGACATCAGAGCCGGGACCGACCCTGTAACAGCGATTATGAAGGCGCTGGCAAACCTCCTGGCCAGACATTATGGAGGATAATAACCTGCGCCTAATGTACTGGAACCCGGACGGGATACAGCAAAAGCTGCAGGAACTCCGCACTATCGCCCAGCAACAGGACATACATATTATACTGCTGGGCGAAACAATATTGAACCCCAAAACGCGCATAAAGCTGCCTAACTTCCATATCTACAGAAGGGACGAGGTCACTTCTCGAGGGGCCGCCTATAGAGGCACGGCGGTTCTAGTGAGGAGGGACATCGTCCACCAAGAGCTGGATTTACCATCCTTCCAGACTATGCGCTCAATCGGCATAAGAATGGAGGCGGCGGGCGAGGAACTAAGGATCTACGCAGCATACCGCCCGCCAGGGACTCCATTCTGCTCCTCAGACATCCGGACGGTAATGGAAGGCGATGTTCCGGTAATCATCGCCGGGGACCTGAACGCCAAACACCCGGCGTGGGGGTCCAGAGTGATCACCCCGCCGGGTCGTGAACTATATGAAGATGCTGAGAAGAACCAGTACGACGTTCTAGGTCCCGAGGAACCAACTCACGTTCCTACCGATCCAAGGAGGCACCCGGATGTATTAGACATCGTGCTCACTAGGAACGTCAACTATCCGATAGTGGTAGAAGTGCTGTACGACCTTCCTTCACAGCACCTCCCGTTACTGATAACCCTTGGCCTAAAGGCAGTGACTACGCCGCCGAGAGCTTTTAAAACCCGTGTCGACTGGAGGCTCTACTGTCAACACCTCCAGCAGAGACCTCCAGCACACCAACCTTTAAGCACAGCGGACGACGTAGAGGCCGCTGCAACTAGAATTACCACTAACATCAAGGAAGCCCTCCACGCGGCTTCTACTGTCGTCCCGATTACAGCAAGGCGAGACGATCTGCCGCGTGAGATATGCGTGCAGATCAAGCGCAAAAGAGCGCTAAGAAAGCTCTGGGCGCGTACTCGCTGCCCCAGGATCAAAACCCAGTTGAACACCCTAACGGAGGAACTGTCGGTTTTAGTCCAAGCCTTCAGAGGAGACGCCTGGGATCGGCGCATCCAGAAGGCGGAGGAAAAAGATATGTCGCTTTACAGACTAAACCGACAGTTAACCAAAGCTAAACCTCCCGTTTGCCCGCTGACTGATAACACGGGCAAACGATGTTACGATGCCAAGGGCAGAGCGGATATCCTAGTCGAGCACTTCGAGGAGCAATTTATGCCGAACACAGCAAGTGCGGAGTTCATGGAGCTTCATGCCCGGAAGGAAAGTCGCGTGCAGGATTTCCTGTCGTCGCCCGCGCCACCTCTTGCAGGAGATTGGTTTATCTCCCCCCGCAGAATTGCGGAGGACAGTAACCTGCCTGCAACCGAGGAAGGCGCCGGGGCACGACGGGATTACCAACGCTGCACTCCGACAGCTGCCCAATAGAGTCATAGTAGAGCTTGGTCGACTCTACAATGGGATATTGCGGACATCCCACTTCCCGGAGGATTGGAAAAAAGGAAAAGTCATCGTCCTGCCGAAACCCGGGAAGGACAGGCGTAGAGCTGCCAACTACAGGCCGATTACGCTATTGCCACATATAGCTAAACTGTTCGAAAGATTGCTGCTAAGACGTCTCCGTCCGTGCATCCAACTTCGGGCGGAGCAGCACGGATTCAGGAGAGGTCACTCCACAGTTACACAACTGACTAGAGTGCTGCACCTGCTTGCGGCAGAGTACAATCGCGGCCGCATATCGTTGGGCGTCTTTCTCGATATCGAGAAGGCGTTCGACCGGGTGTGGCACATAGGATTATTATACAAACTGGAACAACAGACCAGTGTCCCTCCTGCTATATTGCGGCTAATAGCGTCTTTCCTGGAAGACAGGAAGTTCTACGTCTGCGTAGAGGACGCCGAATCCGCAACAAGATCCATCAAAGCCGGCGTCCCACAGGGCAGCTGTTTGTCTCCAGTCCTGTACGCGGCTTACACCAACGATATACCTACACTGGCAGGCAGGCTTCAAGATTGGGAGGACGACGTTGAGCTGGCGCTATTCGCGGACGATAGCGCCTATTTCACCTCGTCCAAAAGAGCCCACATAGCCACTGCCAAGAT